TCTCTTCCAATCAGTCGGCCAGATAGTTGTCTTCCAAATTTCTAGGCAGAGATGAGTGAGTGCCTCTTGTGCTGCCTCACTTTCTTGAAAGATTTCAAGAATAGCATCTTTTCTTAGGTTCCTCAAATATCCTTGATCTATAGTTCACATCCCTGGGACCTGGGTCTATCAGCCAAAGAAATACGTATGAAGAAGGGAAGACGATTAGCTTTACCAAATACAATCGTCTAGATTTTTACTCCTTTTGAAACGAGATGTTCCTGTACATTTGAGAGTTGGCCTTGACTCAGATGCCACCAAAAAGTCTCCTTCATAATGTTTATGCCTTGGAGAATAAGTAGAGGTGATTATCTCTAACGTAATTGCTGGAAAACAAAAGTAACCATTATGTATGACAGCCTTCATTCTGACTAACAGGAGAGCCTGAGGATATAGCTGGTGTTTTAGTTTCATACTGCTATCGTAACAAATGATCACAAACTTGGTGGCTTTAAATGGCATGAATTTATCACCTTACAGTTCGGAAGTTTACAAAGTGTTGAAAGACTGCATTTCTCTCTGGAGGCTCTAGGAGAGAAGGTTTCCTTGCCTTTTTTTTAGCTTCCGCAGCCTGCTGCATTGCTTGCGTCATCACCTTCTTCCTCCATCCTCATAACCAGCAACAATGGCTTAAGTCCTTATCTCATCAAATCATTCCACTCTATTCTGCCTCCCACAATCCTTGTGATTACATTGGGTTCACCCATATAATCCAAGATGATGATATTCCCTATCTTTTTTTAACATCAACTATTAGCAACTTGAATTTCATCTACAACCTTAATTCTGTTTTTCCCAACATAATCACAAATTCCAGGGATTAGACCATGGACTTCTCTAAGGCTGGTCATTATTTAGCCTACCACAGATGACATTTTACTCTGTACTTTTTTTTTTTTTTAATGGTTTATCATGAATTATGTGATAGTTTACATGGCAGAACATTAGCTTTACATTCATCCTATCATATATCATTACATTGTCTTGGTTACAATCCTCTCCATGCATCATCAGCCAACCAAATGGTAAACCCTGCAAGCCTGTCCCCTGGTTGTCAGCACACAGCCCTCCTCGTTCTCTGGATCTAGACTCCCTCTTGAAAGCTTGTAAGCCAGTCACTTCTTGCCTTTTAGGCTCCCCCACTCCCCATTTTGGGTAGCCAATGTTCAAGTTGCCCATCACTGTCTCCCCTGTGTATTGAGGAGGTGGGAATGATCCTTGCTGTAAAGATTTGTTCCCTCTTTTGAGCTACTGCATCCATAGGTGTAGGTCAAGTTCATCAAATTGTATCAGATTACTCTTTTTTTTCCTCTTCTTTTTTCTTCTAGTTGAGCTCTGATCATCCAGTCACTGAAGCCAGGTCAAGTGGGTGTTATTGTTCATATGCCCTCTCTTATCAGCTGGACACTTCATTCTCCACTCTAGTCCTCTGTGGCTATGTCACTGACTCTGGGCCCAGGAGTCCCCAGGTCTTGCCATACTGCTAGCCAACCAGGTCTCCACCCAGCTTCATAGGAGTATATTGAACATGGTTGGACTTAGCTCGCAGCTTCATTGTTGTTTTTGCCTCACTTCCCCTTATTCAGTGACCAACGTGGTCACCAGTCAGAGCACGTGTCTGCTCGTGTATTACCATTGAGTTTTAGTCTTGGAAAGGGGTTTGCCCTGAGGGGACCTGACCACTTGCCTTAATGTCTCCTTGGCAAGCAACTTGATTGTTCTTGTAGTAGTCAGTCAGATCGCCGTTATTGTTTATACTGCATTGGATTGCTCTGTACTTTTTAGGACAGCCAAAGCTTAGAGTTATTTATCTAGACAAAGTGTAACTACCAGAAGGTACACTATACTGTCCTGGCACCTCTTTCAAGCTTCAGCCACCATTTCTTGTTCTCTTCAGCTCTCCTGAGGATCACAATTAAAAAGAGAGATTTCATCTTTGTTTCTTGAGTTTGCTGCTTATAAATTAAGGATAATAATGAGCTTATATTCTTCTGATAGATTTATAAGAAAGTGAAAGAACTACTGATGAGTCTTCATAAGTAGGCCCTAAGTATGGCTCTGCATGGCTCTGTAGGATAAGCACTGGACTGCTGCTAGCCACAAGGTGGGTAATTCAAACCCACCAGCCATTCCTTAGAAACACTACAGGGTAGCTGTGATTCTGAACCAACTCAGTGGCACCTAACAACAAGCAGGGACTACAACAAGATGATGTGTTCTTTTAAATTTGCATATGTATTTGTTGTTAAATTTGCATATGTATTTGTTGTTGTTGTTGTTGTGTGCCATTGAGTCGATTCCAACTCATGATTGAACTGATGGATCTTTCTCCCACGGAGCAACTGGTAGTGTCGATCCACAGACTTTTTGGTTAATAGCTGAGCAATTAATCACTGTGATACCATGGGATGTGTGTGTGTGTAGGTGCTGTGGTGTAAGCACTGGGCTGCTAACCACAAGATTGGCCATTCAAACTCACCAGCCCCTCCTTGAGAACCCTATACAACAGAGTTGCTGGGAGTCAGAACTGAGCCAGATGGCACTTTACAACAACAGTATGCACATATGCACATAAACACTGTGTTGTTGCTGGTAAGTGCCATCGAGTCAGTACTGACTCACAGAGACCTGTATAGATTTCCAATGAGTGGCTGCTGGTTTTGAACTGCCAACCTTTTGATTAACAGTTCAGTGTTGATCCTTCATCGCCACAATAGGATCCTGTATTCCAGGCATTATAGTGAGTTAGGATGGACCAGCCTAAGCTATTTAGAGGCTAAGGGATACTCTTCTGCCTTTACCGTTGTCTCAGTATGGCAGAAGACTATTGTGCCCTTAATGCCTGAGTAGAAGTTGGCCAAGCATGAGAAAAAATGATGTCTGTATGAAGCAGAGTGGAGAAATCCCGTGTCACTGCAGCTAGGAGAAAAGGTAGCCAATGTCTGTAGCAGCTGCCTGAGTAGGAACAAGAGAATGTAGCAGATAGCGCAGATGACAGCTTAGCCAGTTTCTTTGTCAGAGGGCTTCACCGCCGTATGTCCTTCTGTTGGTCTGTGCAGTGTGCCTACACCCATTTCAAGCCCTTGGAGACCTGCGTCAGTGAGCAACACCAATACCACTGGCACGATGCTGTGAAGAGGTTCTTCAAGTGTCCCTGTGGAAACAGAAGTATCTCCCTTGACAGGCTCCCCACAAAGCACTGCAGGTATGAGACTTGCCTCAGGTTCTTTCCAATTCCTGTGCGATGCTGGTTGCCTGCAATGCTGGACAACCGTTCTGTGAGGTCTTAGTTCTAATCCTTCTTACAACTCCTAATAATACTAAATCTCTTTTTTACCAGCAGTCCTGGTATAGTGCTGTGGGGAAGCACAGGGTTAGTTTAACCCAAAAGGTCAGCTGTTCAAACCCGCCAGCTGCTCTTTGGAGACCCTATACAGGGTCTCTTTGAGTCAGCACTTAGCAACAACATCTTTTATGCCAAATACTTTTATTATTGTGTAACTTATTTGTTTGCACTCATATGCTCTGTGACAGTTAAGGGTCTTGGCATTAGTCTTCCATTCATACAAATGATTCCCAGTCCTCTAGAAATTACATGAGACAGGTTTCGTTTTCTTTGAGTAGTTTGTCTAGAGCCTTCTCCTTATAAAGGCTAGAAAAAAGGTTCTTGTCTGTAAACCCACCACATTCATGAGTCATGTTAAAAGTCAGATAGTGAAGGAATACAGTTTGCCTGTCTGAGGGTCCCAATCAACTAGTGTTGTGGATGGCTCTTCCTCCGACCTCTCTTGGTCTGGGAGCTCCTGTGTCAGGTGGTCTAAGATTCTGAGCTGGAGAGCATATGAATACAATGAAGTTGCTGGTCTAAGTTTGCGAAGGTGCCCATTGCTCAAATATGTTTCCTTATTTGCACACCTCTTCTGGCAAGGTAAGTTCTTAGTCTCCAGGGCCCATAGATATGTCAGCAATTCTTACACTATATTCATATTCTCTGAGTCTTCCATGCATGGCTCTTACTTGGCTGAATGACTTGCCGGGCTAGGGAAGAACCATTTGTGTTTTCAAACTGAGTCACAAGTTTCCATCAAATGTGAAACATACCCAAAGTGTTTAATCTCATCTTCCTCCTACTAAAGCTCCTGGTTCTCCCTGGGTTCATCATCATTAAGGTCTGACCCGTCACAGCTTTCTTCTGTTAAACTTAGGTCCTTGTGAGAAATTTTAGAATCATTTGGAACACTGAGGGCTATAAAACTGAACACAATTCTTTCAGCAGGTACAAAGACTCTTTTGCCAAATTCATTTTCATAGATCAAAATCAAATTGTTTCTCTTTGCTAAACATGGAATGGTCCATCATGAAAAAAAAAAAAACAACTAATGGATATTGGCAAAACCTGGCAGGAGCTGATTTTAATCTTCAACTCCACAATGTTTGATCTTTCAAAGTAGTGACGCACTGCTTCTCAGAAGGCTGCCCGAGGTGAAGAGGCCCAGGGATGAGGGAGTTCACATAGACATAGTACAGGGTTTCTGGCAGCAGCCAGGGGAGCACCAGCAAGTGGTTTGCTCACACTCGGCAACCATGTTCTATTGGATTTTATGTTGTACGTGGACACATTATGTTTCAAAATGGAGAATGTTTGTTGCATGGAAACAGCACCTTCTTCTGAACTTCTCTTCCACTTCTTTGGGGCCGTCAGAACGATTGGAATAGACTTCTCATCAGTAGTTAAAGCAACTGCTGGTAGGCCAATTTGTGTTTCTAAATACAGGCTATTGTTAAGTGCCATCAAGTCGATTCCAACTCATAGCAACACTGCCTAGGGTGTCTGAGGAGCAGCTAAGTGAGTTGTGAACTGCCAACCTTTCAGTCCAGCGCATTATGGGTAACAATGTCTAATTTCTGCCCATTTTGAACACTTTGTTTTCCAAATGGCCTTTTGCATAATACAGCCTGTTGGTTTTCCTGCACTGGGATTTATCCAGCCGTTTCTACTCCAGTACAGATTAGAATTAGCCCGTGCCGTGTCCAGGGAGCTGAGTCTTATGGAAGCAGACTAGCTGCCACATCGTTGTCCCATGGAGAAGCATGTGGGTTCAAACCACTGACCTTTTATTTAGACCAGAGTGCTCTAACCACTGTGTCACCAAAGCTCCTCATCACACTGTTGTAGTTGTTAAGTGCCTCTGAGTCGATTCCGACCCTTAGTGACCCTGTATAGGGTTTCCAAGGAGCAGCTGGTGAACTTAAATCACCGACCTTGCAGTTCACCGACCTTGCAGTCTGATGCAATAGGCCACAGTGCCACACATCATCACACACAGTATGGTTAAAGCCAGTTCACATGGAGGCAGCTCAGACTCTTGGCAACCCCATGTGTGTACAACAGTGCTCCACAAGGTTTCCAGTAACTGATTTTTCAGAAGTAAATTGCCTGCCTTACTTCTGAGGTGCTTCTGGGTAGAATCAAATCTCCAGCTTTCCAATTAGCAGCCAAGCACATTTGCACCACCCAGGGGGAGACAACATGAATAACCTTGTTAAAATATTATGTGAAATTCCATCTCTGAAGCATCTAGCTTGTTAAGGAGCTGAAGACCATCTCAAATCATTGGGGTATTGATTTTTGGTCCTAGAGAAGGACATCATGCTTGGTAAATTAGAGGATCCGTGTCAAAGGAAGACCCTCAAGGAGAGAGACTAACACAGTGGCTGCTAACAATGGACTCAAACATAACAATCCTGAGGATGGCACAGCATCGGTCAGCGTTTCTATTGTATATGGGGTCACCATGACTCGACAACGCCTAACACCAAGAGTAATAAAATATAGCCTCACATTTAACCTATGAGTGTCCACTTGGTCTTATTCTCCCTGAATGGAAGCTACTTTTCCCTTGAATTAAGCAGCCTTATCTATACGTGCAGTCCTGTACCTCACCTGCTGAAAACTCCGTCTTTTCTGTTTCAGTAACTGTGGCCTCTTCAAATGGGAACGGGACGGAATGCTAAAGGTATGTCATTTGCAGGTAACTAACTGTAGAGACCAACGCACATAATATTAAATCATTTCTGATGAAAGTATTTTCCTTTTTCTAGGAAAAGAAAGGTCCAAAAATTGGAGGAGAAACCCTGTTACCAAGAGGAGAAGAACATGCCAAATTTCTGAACAGCCTTAAGTAACCCTAACTTAAGTCACTTTCCTAGCTCCTGCCTTACTTCTAGTGGCTCCAAAAACTTACCTTCTCCATTGTGTTGGTTAGATACTACCCAATTTGACATTGGCATTGAAATAGAAAATTAAGGTATCATTGCATTTCCTGTTTATCCCTGTAGATGCTGCTTTATTGCAGTCACACAATTTCTTTCCCAAACAACTGAAGGTAAATCGTGACTGTTGTTACCATGATAAAGCTCTATGTGCACACACACCTAGAGCCTAAAAATGCATTAGCTGAATTCTCACCCCAAGTACGTTGCTTAACCCTGGGCTTCCGTTTCCTTATGTGTAAATTGGGCGTGGTTTACTTGATCCTGAAATGTATCTCTTAGCCACTCACGTTCTACTGAAAGTAATTTTTTCAGTCTAGTTATTTATGATTATTATGGTCTTGCCATACTGATATTAAAAGCCAACGTCCTTCTTTCTGTTCTACTGTTATGTCTGTTTTGCTCTTTGAAGCTGATCAAGCCACCAAACCACTTTGCATTTCAATTCTTTTGTATATGTGTGTAGTTAATTGGCTCTCTGTGTCCATACAATATTGTGGAGCTCTATAATCTCATCATCTTCCATTAACACTTAATTTAATGATGACTTCAAGAAGCTTGGTACCTCTAACCCAAATGAATGCTGGACTTGAGAAACTGAAGCATGGCTGCAGAACAAATGTCACAGAAAGAAAGAGTCCCATGGAGTGTGGAGTTTGCAGAGATACCTTTTATACACATCCAAGAGTTATAGGTCAGGGCCTATTCAAATGACCACCCCACCCCACCCCCACAAAAAAATCTGTTTAGGAGTAGGAGATTTCCTCTGCATGGACAACTTGATTTTCCAAATGTCCTTTTACCTCAGTGGATGCTAGCACCTCCTAAAGACTGGGTAAATTGGCAAGATTATTGTATTGAGATTTGAACTCCAGCTAGAAGTAGGAGAGGTTTCCTCCAGTATTATAGTATTAAGTATTTAACTTTGAATGAGAACCAAATGGCACTTGAAAACTCTTATTTTCAATAGTTCATTTAGGATGGATGTATTTGCCCCATAAACTTAAAACAGAATTGGTATTTGACATAGTCACAGTTGAACTGGAACTGTAAATTGCTCTTTGAATGGTTCCTTTCTGCCTGAAAAATATGCTCTTATTTGACCAAAGGAAGTTGGTGGAGTCCACATATACGTATATATTGTACAAAAGAAGTATAATATCCTTATAAAGGTTACCAATGAGCTAAATCTGGGTGCCTTCATTTTTCAATTTTAACTTTACGTCTCTTTAATGATTTTTTAATGTAATTAAGTTAGTCTCAGGTACGGTAGATCTTACTGGGGCTTGTATTTCAGATGCTTTCTTAGAATATGAAATACTCTTTTGGGGATGAATCAGGGAACTGAGGTGTAAAGGTGGGTGGCGGTGGGGACGGTCCCACTTGTTTGCAATGAAATTATGATTCACCAATGAGATCAGTCTTTAATCCTATCTTCTTTACCAAGGTGTATTATTAAATGCTTTTGAATAAAGTCAACATGAGTGGTTACTTTTTCCTTAACCTGCCTTTGGTAATGTGGAGTTCACTGTATCAGGTAATAACAGCTGTCAGAACAGAAGCAAATAATGATGTAAATTATTTAGCCAACAAAAGCTGGCTGTCCTACATCTCAGAAAGTGTGATTGAACCTAATGTTATAATGTTTAAAATCGATTGTTTTTTTTTTTTGTTTTTTGTTTTTGCTGTGGCTTTCTTTAGGGGAAATAAAAGACTTACGAAAGAATTTGTGTGTGTGTGTTTCAAAAATAAAATAGATTTTTCTTTTCCAAACAACAAAAGAAATACTGAAGTACTTTTGATAACAGGGATCCACAATAATAAGGAATAAGGAACTTTTCTGAATGAATGATACGTGATCTTGCACCAAAGATTACATTAAAACATCAAAAGTTTCTGGTTGGTTGAAGCACAGCAGATTCGTCCTCTTCTGAATATGGCATAAATTTCTAGCCATTCTCTTAAACACAATTTTACTTTTGTATGATATACACAATATAGTTTGATTTTAAAACATTTTTTTAGGGAGAACAAACAAGATGACGGATCAGGTGGAAGTGCAGTAAAGAGCTCCACCAGCAACAACACAGAATACCTGACCAAGCAGGCTCAGGGGATGGTCCCAGAACTCTGAACTACCTATAAAGTAATATTTAGAAAGTTGGAAAGCTTACAGCTGGGAGAATTTGTGGCAGAAGCAAGAATTCCATTGCTTTCTCTGGGATGCTCAACTGCTCCAGGAGCCGCCATCTTGGGTAAGGATCGGAGCAGCCACAGACGCCTGGCAGAACCGCAGAGATAAAAGTGTGGACATTCTTTTCTTTGGGTAGTTGTTCATTGGTCCCTTGCTGTCTGTGCACCTCCATGCTAGTGACTATAGGGGTGCCTGAGCTAGTGGGCACCCCAGCCCCACCCTCAGAGAGTTCTATGCATGCGCACAGATCTCAAAATTTAAAGAGACAGTTTTCCAATTAAAACCAAACGGCCACAGCCAGCCCTGAACTGTATACAACTAGAAAAAAAGGCCTGAATGGGGATTGTGGAGCGGGACAAGCAGACACAAAAGAAAATAAGCCGAAAATTAAGTCCTAAGTTACGTCAAAATGACCAACAGTGGCATCTTGAAATTTCTCAAGAAGAGAATGAAAAGGGAAGGCCATTTCCTGATCACATCTACCTGGAGGCAATCAGAATGCATAAAAAGTACCAAAATACACACCCATCTAAGTATTAAGGCCACAGATAACCCCTGAAT